TTCTCCGTAATGGACGAGCGAAGGATAAACAACGGATGAAAATGATGTTTACGGAGAGATCGTAATCATTCTTCTTTCGCAACACGTGTCGTACTGTCCGATAATTGAATAATCATTAAATGATATATGTAGCAACAATTTAAAATTCCTTTTTACTCGTTCCATTTACCGTGTCTCTGCCTATTCAATTTTGATACATTACAATAAATTACATCATTTTCGCTATAAATAAATAAAATCGATATATTCTATTATGTATAAACCGGAACGATATTTATCGTTCGGCAACATCATAATACGAGTATAAAAACGATCGCGTGTCTTCTTAAGTCATAGTCTTAGTATAAAAAAATTCTTGACTTTGGACAGGTCAAAAGAAACTCGATGATAATCATTAATGTCATTACAATATGTCTTAATAATTATCGGAACGTATCACATTCGATATCGGCAGAATCGATTTGTGGTATACATTTCGTAGCGAAGCAATCTTGTCGAGGTCACATTGCGAAGTCTATGTAAATACGCAACTAACCACACGCAGAAACACATAAAAACAAATCGTGTCATCCGTATGACACGTGAAACTCGGGGGAATAAATAAAAGAGCAAATATGAATTTGATGACGTATAGATACGGAGAAGTCTTTTGCAATATGCAACGCAATGATCACGTGTGCTTGTATGTGTTTGGCACAAACAATACGTACTTTCTCCTTGAATAAATTCCATATAAACTAAACGATATTTATTAAAAGCCTAATATCTGTACACGTGTACGCGGAATGAGGAAATATTTAGAAAGTCTTATTAGGTTTGCGAAAAAAAATTTCGTTTGTATCGGGAGAGAATAGCAATCTTGATTGTATTAAGAATAGCGCCGTACTGGCGTCATCCCACGTCACTTCTTTCCTTTTCATCAGTGAAAATTACGGTTAATAAGTACGGCTTGCGTATACTGTTCGTTAACGACGATATTTGCTTTGTTCCGCCGGAATCTCCCAAGTCTCGTTTATTTAATGTCTCGTCGCTGTTAATGTACACGCGAGTTTTTCCGAGTAAATATTCACATGTTTTGTCAGAGCGCTCGAGGGGAACACTGCGCCGGGACGCATAATAAATACGGCTTTCTGTCTCTGTCGTGTTGCACGACGGTGCAATCGGGAGTGTGAGGTAAGAACGGAACCCGCGCGAGAGCGCGACAGAGAGAGAATGCATTTGTTAATTCAACACGCACCAATACACTCGCGCGCGTAAGCGGTACCACCGAGTACCAGCGCCGATTCCGCGCGTGGAGAATAAGCGCGCGAATTCTCGCTGTGCGACACGTGCGTTGCCGATCTCATCTCCTCGCGAGAGGAGTCGAGATGCAATAAGATATAATTAAAATAATAATCCTCTCTAAGAGAGAACAGACACCACTGCTTTGTAAATTATTCCTCCAGAAATAGCGGTAGAAAAAAAGATTATCAAATATTAATAAATGTTGCTCTCTAAATTTTCTGGAGTGAATCTCACTCCAAAAGAGTGAAAAGTTACTCCAGAAAATTTAGAAAGTGATTTCTTGATCTGCAATTATTACTTTATATATACTTTGTATTACCTATATAAGCGTATTTCAATGTGTACCATTTGCCACAATTTGCGTTATATTTGTTTCCTATACCTTGCTCCTCTTTTTCGGCACTCAGAGTCCCTCTTTTAGGTAATTAATTAATGCTTTTAAATAATAATTAATATGCGACAGTTATTAATTTTAAATTTCGAAAAAACTTTACATAAACAAATAATACAAATTACATGCAATAAATTAACTTGAAGACTCAACGAATTGTAATGCATTATCGTAATTTAATAAATTTAACGGAGCGCCATAAGACACGTGTCAAGTTGTATGTACCATAAGTTATGCATTTCTAATCAGAGAACGGAAACTCGACACAATGACTTCCGTTAAGTCAAACTTCCTTCATAACAAAAGGAATTCATTATAGAAAAGTAACAGCTCTTTAGACTTCAGACGTTGAGTCAATGCTCTTTTTATGCTGGATTTTAAAATATATATTTTGCATAAATGTGTTTTAGCGTGTTTAAAGGAATCTTCTGAGATTTATTATTTATTGTTAATCCACGAATATATTCACACGCTTCTGACGCAGATAAACTAACGATATAAAAATATAAATATTTAAAACATAGCAGTATTTGGATTGTCGTGGAATCATCTTGTTATTCGGAATTTTCGCGCCGACAAACCAACCGATATCTTCCTGTTTTCGGATTTGTAACAATACTGTGTCGACATATGTCGGAGCAATTAAAAATTGAAAATCAGCTCCTATATTCCACATTTTCTCTTAAAATCACGAGCGTCCGTCGTGAGACTCGAAGAGAGGCTTGACTCGCGTCACACAGAGAAACTCACTCGTCGGAGGAGAAACCAAAGAGAGTGTTGTGCCTAGTTCTCTCTAAGGTGAGAGTCTCCGGCTCGGCTCGCGACGCGGCCTTTTATTTACGTCGTGCGAGAACGCGCGACCGCCCGTCCGAATGATGAAGGCCTTTCGACCTATCGACGCGAAACGGAGAATAGGGCGCGTGACTAGCAGCGATTATTATATTAAATACATTCGACTACCGATTTCATGTCGATCTCGCTGAGCTACTGGTTTATTAACGTAGGCCGATTTTCGTGAACTCCGCCAATCAAGTCCGAGAATTGAATCACGCATGCATTGGAAACAGAAATTCAAGAATCGAGCGCGTAAACTGTCTTTGTCAGAAATGTTAAACTGTTCCTCTCTAATTAAGAATGATCTCATGGAGGCTCGATATAATCATTCCCCATATCATCCGAAAGCACTTTAACCGATAAAGAAAAGCTTCGAAAATACCGCTGGTATCGTATCGCATCATTACATTTGGTCCCATTTGAATCAAGATAATGATCGATATGTATATCGGTTGAAAAATGATATTTCCAGATTATGCATCTAGCAAGATAATAACCAAACAATTGATAAACATCTGACAAGATAATAGTAACAGACTTGATAAGCGAGCATTTTAATACAATAGATTTTACAGGAATATATTGTAATTAAAAGTCTATCGTCTGTTTAATTTATAAAACAATTACGATAACGATTTTCAGCTTCGATAAGACACTCAGGTATATATTTGTGATTAAGCAACTGTGGTCTCTCTAATTTAGAAATTTGTAAATTATCTCCTACAAGGTCTTTCTTATCAAGGTACTTCGATGTTTTTCTCACAACTGATAATATTCTACAATTGTCGACTGTACATACGGTGACGTGTCGCAAGATATCACGATCGGACGATATCACGAGAATAAATAACGATACAAGTACATAGTTATTTATACATACACATACGTGTCTATACGCGCGCGTGTGCGTGCGTGCGTGTACGTGCGTGTGTGTGTGTGTAATAAACATCAAGAAATGTCTGGGATCGATAAACGCCGCGTTTCAAATCTCGATACACCTTGCCGCTATCTCGGAGAAAATTTCTTTCGCTTTCTAAATGTGTCGATATTTTCTTGCTGTAATAGACGTAGCGCCATTAGAGCCACATAAACGTGAACGAGTGTTAGTGCACTAGGGTTCTCCACTCTCGATCCACTCGCCGCGCCGCCGGTGTTGCCCGATATTTTTCCCCGCTCGTATGCCTACGGCTATCTCGCGTTACTTTACAGCGCGGGCTCGTTCCCGCGTGTGTCGCGCGAGATCTTTCTTGATTCACGCGTGTCGCGATCGCCGATCGCCTTCCTCGGTAGGATCGTGAAACGCGAATGACGCCTGACGATGCAACCGTGGATACGAGATTTCGATCGCCCAGCGCGGAAGACCGTCCCGAAACGATACGATCGAGGATTTTATTTAATATCCACCCGGCGGCACCACGTTATCTTCGATCTCTATCGCGTAAAATAATTTCTAGGAAAAATAAAGCGCTAAAAAAAACGACAGACCGATGCGGTTTAGTAATTATACGCGTGCGGGGAGATGAATATGTGTGTATGTGCGTGCGTGCGTGCGTGTATGTGTATGTCAGGCCCTTCGATCTCATACGAAGAGAACACGAGAGAAGAACGGAGAACTTGCGAGAATTTTGTAGACGTACAAGGTATTTGGTAAATTCAAAATTTTTTCCAAATTTCGTCAGAAGAAACGAATTTAATCCTCAAATATTGTTGGCCATAGAGTCGAAAAAGCCACCACTTCGAAATCCTATTATGAATATTCTATAACTTTGTATGATTTCTAAATCGCAGAACAAAGCCGAACCGTGGCTCTTTTTCCGCCTCTTTCTCTCCAAGGTGAATATACGCGTGAATAAACGAACGCGAGAAATAAAGTTTATTCGATTAGCAACACTTTTTTTTGTATGTCAGAGCTTTGCTCTTTGCACGAACCAATCGGATCGAGAACGCGAGCGAACGCTCAAATTCGCATTTGTTGCTCGCTCTACCTGCCGGAGTAGAAATGTCTACCTGTGGAGATATTATCCGATTGTAAATCGGTTTTCAAGGGAAAAGCACACAAAAGCGGAACGTCGATAGATCAAAGAAAATTTCAGAAAAAAAAGTTAGGCAGGGAGTCCCGTACAGTTACACCCATTGCAAAATATCCTTCGAAGGTTAAGATTGTTCGTTTACTTTAACAATACGAGATTCGAGCGTGGCGGAATATATCTTTATTGTCCCTGTCCTTTGTGTTTCTCGCGTTTTCTACATGCGACAAACATGCCTTCTCTCTAAATAACAACGTTAGTTGCTTTTCCAAGTAATGTCGGCAAAAATGATATTTGTTCATCGATACGATTTATCGGCGAAAATTCTAATGATTCGGGATTCGAACGGGGAACTTCAGCAACACAATCGTGTGGCACGACTTCGCTCCGCGTGCGTGAACTTATGAATAACTTAAAAATTAAATATACGCGACGACGACAGGTGAAAATCGATCGAATCTTACCTTAAAAAGATGCTCGCCGCACTCGAACATGGACGTATTACTCATGACGGCAGTCGACATGTTCTTCGGGTGTCGCACAAAAACACACTTTGTATCTTGACGACCGTTGTTCGCCTTCCCTCCGATCCTTTTTCTTTCCCCTCCTTTCGCCTCTCGTCCCGCGCAGCGCGAAAAATGAAGTGTGACGCAGCGTTGGTGGTGAAGAAGTCGCGCGTTGGCGGTGAGCGGGGGAGAGAGGGGGTTGGGGAGGGAGGATGAAAAACTTTCTTCAGAACACAATAAAACTGCCACTACGACCGTATGCGTCGTTATGCGATGCCGATGCCGCCGCCGCTGCCGTAGCTCGCATCGGAAGCACCCGCGCGTAAATAAACAGTACGTGCCCCGATCGACACGTGTGTCTCGGAGAATAACGTTAATAATAAAAACAGCCAACAGGAACGAGCGGGCGGGCGGGCAGGCGAGCGGACGCGCGCGAATACGGAGAACGTTTACTTCTCGGATTCGTGCTTCCTGGTACGGATCGACTGGCTCTTTTGGCCTCTTCTTTATCTATCTCTCTCTCTCTGGATCGACTTTGCGACAGCGATAACTTGTCTCCTCACGTACTATCGAGTATACAGCCCGTCGTCGTCGTCGTCGTCGATCGTCGATCGTCGGTGCGCGTAAGATCGGCAAACTCTTCTCTCTCTTTTTATCGATCTTAACGAACGTTTAACGAACTTGAACTTGGCACTTTCGTTCGTCGACTTCGCCCGAATGGTGTGCGTTTACCCGTCTTACGGAGAGGGGAAAAGATCTTACCGGGGTTTGCGTGTGTCCGGTAATATACCACCGTGTTTCAACAACGTTTAAAGCAGAGCCTCCCAAAGCTGACTGAGAGCGCTGCCGACTGAAAGTTGTAGCTTGTGCTCCGCGGGAGGACATGCAGGCCGGGGTTACTCTGCGGTACCGACGCGCCGGCCAATCGCGCGCCGTCCCGCGCGTCACGTGGTGGTGGTGGGGAGGGGGGGCGACCGCTCCGACGTGGCAATCGCGCGTCGCGACGGCACGGACGGACTCACGTGAAGTTGGCTCTCTGTGTCGGCATGTCGGCCCTCAATTGTCCGTACAATTCCATCCACCGTTCCGTGCCTCTTTCTCTCGGCTCTCCAATCCCGGCCGCCCGGGCTCCCTTATTGGACGAGATTCGGGGTCGCATCCCTCCGAGGCGAGGGGTGCTCGTTTTAATCCGATCCGAGGCTGCGATCGCGCGCCGGGATGCGATAATGCGGCCTCGCGCAAAATACGCGATGGACGACGAGGCCGCGTCTCTCATGGAGTAAAGCGTCTCCCTCACAAGTTAGTACTTCGAGTCACTTCGAATATTGCCGATTGTTTTCTGCATGTCGATCAGTGGGTAAAAATGGGTAAGAGCGAATTACGCCAGCCTTTCTATAGAAACGATAATAGGATCATAATAGCATAATGAGGCGTCACAAACAGCCTAACAACTTTTTCTTGAGATTCCAACAATCCCGCTGTAAAAACGTTTCACAGAAAGGTTAGATTCTTCTGTAAAAGGGCTGGCTTTACAAGAATCCTGTAACGGATTTATGTAACAAATTGCAAACGAACGTAGCAAGCATTTAAAAGAAAAATAACAAAAATAATATGAAACCCGCTTCAAGAAAAAGCATATTTGTTTATTAAAATTTGATTTATTTGAATTTGTTTTTGTAAATCGAGATGCTAACATTCCTCGATTTCACATTCGTCATTATTTAGTCGTTACTATGAAAACGCAGCGGAAGAATAGATCCAAGTTCAATGCAGTGTTATTGGTAACGCTGCAGTGTGTTGTTTTTTCTTTCTCTATTACTGAGAATGCAAAACTATATATTCTAGATACGACTCTCTCAACCGCTCGACAACTCGAGCGCATTCCAGCGGTCAAACGGCGGCATGAATGAAATTCAGCTTCTATTCACCTGCGACGTAGACCGCAGATTCTAAGCAGTAACTGTCTATGTTCGTTATAATTTTTTGTTGCCAATTGTCGTTACGATTTTATGACCACAAACGTAAATTACGTTGCCAGCAACAATTGTCCCTAATTTTATAACGATCGATTTATTATCGGGTGAAATATGGTTGTCGTATCTAAATTAGTTTAATTGTAAATAATTAAATACTGCGGTCTTACAAATGAAGTATCGCGATGTATAAATTTGTTTTAATTTCTTTCCTGCTAAACAGATTTCAAATTTTTATTTATTACGTTAATTATTTATACATCAATACGAAAGAAATTCTTTCTAAAATGCAAAAATAATTAAAAATAAAAATCGTTTCGTCAAAAATAGGATACGTTAAATAGGATTTACGTTAAATTGACCGAATTCTGTTATCAGTTTATATAATTTTCAACGTTTTAATTATATATAGAAATACGTGTAACGAGATACGTGCCTGTCGGTTTAGGAAGAATGTCACTGGTTGAGTTAGTTATAATCCGCTGTTTCTTTCTTAGCTACGCGCGCAAAGCAGGAACAAACGTTTTTACAGAATTTCGCACGTATACCAACAACGGCATTAATCGAAGAAGGAAGTGACATTTCGCGAAGGGAAAGCCGGAAGTTCGCGATCGCCGCGAGGTCGCGTGAGTAGGAAGTGAGACTCCCGCTGGTTTCGCAGCGGCGCAATGTCAAATGCTGATTAAAATTGTGCTTGAAGAATAGAAAAGGTCTCTTTCATAGTAAATAAAAAAGCGATAAAAAATATATCGATCTCCTTAGATAAAAGAAAGAATGATTTATTGGGGAAAGCTATCTTGCTTCTTAATCGCTTAAATCAATTATTACTTTCAAGATTAACAAAATCTTTTTATCCAACGAAGAAAAGAAATTTGTAGTGTAATATCGTTTTAATCGGCACGTTGCCGATTAAATTAATGTTGTTGATGCTGATTTTTTTTCCTTTCCGAAAATTTCTTTCGGAAGCTTAATGTGTGATAACGAGTTTACGATACCAATAGATATGTCAATCACGCGGAAAGACACACTTTATTATTATAGATCGACCGTACGCCAGGAGTCTAATTCGATCCTGTCAAATTAGGGAGTGTCATAGTACGCGCTGCAACATACGGGCCTATGAGGGTGAGCTGTCCCATGGGGAGGTGTTTTCAACCCCGAACAGATTCTCATGCCACTAAATATAACGGCTAATGGGAGTCAGTTTCCGTCATGGTGGCCGGACTATATTCAGAGATATCAGACTGGGATATGCGGGCTCTTTGTGAAGGGTGTGTGCGTGAAAATGAAAGAGAAAGAGAAAGAGAGAGAGAGAGAGAGAGAGAGAGAGTGAGTGAGAAAGAGAGAAAAAGTTCCTGCACTTCCGTTTCTGCGATAAATTTATAACGCATGTATGATTGAGTGTGGAATTTTCAAATTAATCGATAATTTGTACAATATTTTTTTTCATTATTAGTTTTCTAATTTTATCGTTATTTCCCTTTTTTATAAAATTTATCAATTTTCGTACTTCAATAAAAGTAATTATATTTTCTATTTGAATAATTCGAAAATGTTAAAGGATTATATTTTGTATAAATGTTAAAAATTGTAGACGATTTTATATTATTACACATATTTTTGTGCATATGGAATTTTTAAGGGAATAAGTATTTTACATATATTAATTCTTAACAAACTTTTGAATTCATACATTAGATACTTAAATACTTGAATTCCTTTTCAAAATTTTAATAGTAGGACGATATAAGAGAATGAAAAATAAGGACTATAACGTCATTGTAATAAAATAATAATTGTACATAATAATATTTATATATTTTATTTGTTGTACATTAATGACGTAAGCGAAGATATATGCGTCTTAGATAATAAACAGAGAGAATACGACCGTTGAAGGTAACTCGCATCAGGTAAACTAGCGACTGCGGGACAAACTAACAGAATCGTAAAAGAATAGGTATTTCTTTTCTTGTCTGCAACTTACAGTTCTTTGTGCAGTATAAAGTGCAAAATAAAAAAAAATGTAAGGAGAGTGTAAAAAATTTTATTATTCGCGTATGAAAGACTTATGACAGTCTCGCGACTTTGATACATTCCAAGAGAGCCGTCGAAGAGAGAAAATATTAGTTGTAACTTTTCCGTTTGCGGATGTACAATACAAAGAATAGAGAAAAATAAGAGGAATTGGATAGTGTCCGTCACGTGCGTGACGTATGTATATCCATTATTGCGGGAGAGCACGTGAAAAGCGCGCGGATGTAACATGTGTTGCGCAGAGCGAGGTTGCGCCTAGCCAAGGGTTCTTTCTTGCAACTTTCGCGTCTCTTGCACGTCCGTAATGTCTCAGTGGAAAGAAGAGGGCGAGGAGAAACAGGCAACGAAAAACAGTCGTATTCAATTTTGTTCGACGTTGTGCAATCTGGCGAGCAATCTGGTTCGAACTTGATGGACTCTTTCCTTCAATTCGATTAAAAATTTGACAGCATTTTTCATTACAAACATTAATAATAATAATAATAATAAATAAGACGTTTAATGGAATACATCGTTGCTATACCGAATGCTTTGGACAAAGGAAAGGAAGATACAAAGCAGAGATAATTACGATAAAGAGCAGAGTAGGCACGCTGGAAATGTCACACGCCGAGTATCGTGACGTCATAGATTTTTTCGTGATGTGGATCTTTTTTTAAAACCGCGTCAAAACGTTTCGTTCTTTCTCTTTGTTCATTTTCTTACGTTGTTGACGTCACTTGCATCTGCGCGAATGCAATGATGACGCATTCGAAAGTACAACGTCGTTCGAACTTTTACGTCACTGCGAATTTTCGACAACGTCATTTTGTCGAACGCACGTCATAGTTGTGAGTCAGAATCGATAATTATGCGCAATACGTTTAACATCAGGTATTTACGGTATATAAATGTTTAATCAGTAGTGTTTAATATTAGAAATCTACACTGCGGTTTCATTGTCCGAGCGGTTTCTTCTGTTTCTTATAATTCCTGAAAAAAAAAGTACCGATCAGGCTTCTTCGGGTTTTCCTTCGACCGTTCTTGAAATAACGGAACGGTTTGGACGGAAGAAAAAATTTTACGATTGCTGCAGTTTAGAAAACCTAATATAAAACTTTCGTAGATTTTGCAACATATTTTTGAGTGATGCATTTTCGTACAATATAAATTAATGATTCGATTATTTCATCACTCAATTATTCGCATGAGATAAAATATTGCACACACACGTAGGATTATGTAAAATATGGAGAAAAACGATACTATTGAAAATGTCACATGGCGTAATGACTCAACAAACGATTTTTCTCTTCTTCTTCGTCGAGACGAAGCACGAGGAACGTGGGATATACCTATACAGGAAAGCCGCGATAAAAATTCGTACGCTCAAGTTATGTAATTAGAGAATCGCGAAGTGAAATGTCACGATGAAAATGTCACAGGGCGAACGAGAGAAGAAGTCTGCGTTCTAGCCGCGGCATTAATCAGCGCTGATCCTGCGCATCATATTGCAGCCTATTACACATCACGATGTAGGCGTGGGTGCGAGGTGTCAAAAGATTTATTAACTCAACAACTATAAATGTCTGAGTCATTCGCGTGATTGAAGATATGATATTTATCGGGTATCGAAAATCTTATCGGCATTGCGTCATCCCGTGTCAGATTTTCTTTATTATGCACCACGAACGGCACATGATTCACGCTATAATTAACGCGGGCTTCATAAGCAGGCAACTTAAGAATCACTCAATCTTACATTATCCAAATATGGTTCATTTTTCAGGTAAAGAGCCTTCAGCTAAAGTACCCTCTTAAGCATACCCTCCGGCTGATACCTCTGGCGTCTCTGCGTCGTGCACACAGGTACCTGCGTAGATCTCAGATCGATAGATCGGAGCAGAAATCGTTCCGAGAATCGCAAAGGCCAAGGCAACGGCAGGCAGGAAAGCAGGTATGTAACGACACGGGTAAATGCACGCGGCTAAACCGGACCGAGCAGAAAGACGGCTCATGTAATACCGGCTTAAGGTAGCTCTGCCAGAGTCCGTTTTGCGAAAAAGTCGTCGTTATTGGCGCGCATTTGTGGTTGCTTCTCCCACGCTGTGGACGGTACCCTGTGCAGCTCCACTTGCAAAGAAACACACGCGACACTCCTTCTCGGCAATAGAATTGGAATAACCAAGCTAATATCTATATTTTTTTAATTTGTATTATACATCTATTCTCTTTTCATCTGCATTTCTATTCTCTCTTTTAATCAGCTTATGTTTGAGTTATCTTAGTTGGCTTTTTAAGCGTGAAGAATTAGAATTCTCTAAAATATGGGACTAATATAATTAATTATTATACTAAATAAATCTATCATAGCGTTTGAATAATGATATTATTGAAAATATCAATAGTAAAGGCACAAAAAGTGAAAATTTAAAAGATACTTCTCTATAATTAAAATGCTTTTAAACATTAGCAAGTAATGCTAAGTAGTAATTCGACTAAAAAGTAAATCTAATAAAAGATTACAACTATATTGTTACTTTTTTTAAAAAATTTAATAATTAATGACTATAATAAAATTACTTTATTCATAAAGGTAGGAAATATACATAGAAATAGTATATTTTTAGTTGCACAATACATAGCATTAATGTCACGATAGTATTGGTAAACTGGGGAAACTGAGAATTATGCAGAATGACGAGCAAACCAATAACATTTATCTGTACATCGCGCGTAAGTTTAATGGTACCGCTTGACACACTTTTTTGAGACATTTGTCATTACTTGTCTTTGTGGCATATTCTTTACATAGTAATTTTTACATTTTTACATAATTTGCTTAGTTTACATAGTACATAGCACGCGCTCACGCGCCGTCCACGGTCAGTAATGGCGCGTATTGTGCGTATACATAAAGTGCTTACGTACGCTGTGGTTTACGCTCTTACTTTCTTATTCTCCAGCATTTCCGTGGCCAGGCGCCACTCCGATCGAAACTTTCACATTTCGCATTAATCTTAAATTAACGACAACCGTGAGCGTTGCATAAATCGCTATAATTTCTCTTATACATACAGTTGCACCTGGGAATCTCAGTTTACAATCATACGTTTGATAATATTCGAGATATCTTCCAGATACAATATGACAGTTGGTACATGAAACTTTCGCGTTTTCATCGATGTTATTAAAAAAATAAAATATGAGGAATAATTTAAATCAATTGCTGCAGGAATACCTTTGTAAAAATCAATTAATAATACATACTCCATGTATATTCACGATAGTCTTATTTAATTTATGCAAGAATTAGGAACGATTATTACGTATTAGAAACAATTTGTTTGCAACGGCCAAAATGGTTTCGTCCGGAATAATGCGTTTTGATGGCACGGACCGACTCGCGAGCGCGGATTATTCCGCTCATTGATGCCAATGGGTTAATGACCGCGTGCAACAGTAATGTTGGCCAGGAGTAAGTTGCCATTATTCTATTCCACCGATCCACAACGTGGCTAGTTTTCCACTACAATCGCGCGCGATTTTGATAAGGCAATAGTGCTCTCTCTCTCTCTCTCTCTCTCTCTCTCGCTCTCTCTCTCTCTTCCCTATTCTTAATATTAATAATTTAGAATTATCAACAGTAATTGAAATTTTAAAGAAATGATTTTTTTCTCATGGTAATTTTGCGGGACCTATAAGTTCTTCCCTAAGGAAAAATTATTATTTCACGTTTTAACGCGAGGAAACTTTATTATTCTACAATGAGATAAAATATACAACTATCGGCGATAATCGCCAGATTTTTTACAACGTTCGGAAGGGCGCTATTATTATATCGTTGCAACGAATGATCGGCATGAGGTATCGTATGAGTCTTTAAAAGTCATTGCACTTTGAGCTGTGGCAACTAATGAACGGCACTTATATCGGCGGGGTATACGCACACGCGTGACTCTCTCGTTTTCCTACCGGCGACGGCGACAATGGTTTCGTACTCGCGGAGAGGCCGCCTATCGTAGCAGCACGCAAACGCAGCACGAGCCAAGTCGTACGCAGTCGCAAGTTTTCTTCCTATCCAGTACACTGCACGAATCGTCACGCCTATTGACTTTTGTTCATGAAACGTGCGTGCATCTTATTGTTAGAGGAAGGCCTATTTTAACGAAGTATTTATCATGGTGACCCAATATGACAATAGATAGTCTTACGAAAGGTTAAAGCAAGCAAGACTCATAAATATCGTGATAATCATGGAAATTAAGTAGAAATAAGAATTAGAGAAATATAATATTAGTCAAATAATATAATAATTTAACGAGTAATTAAATTAAATTTGAATCAAACATGGAAGAAAAAAATGATACAATAGATGATGATTATTTCTGACACTATTGCATTTGTAAAGAATTTCTAAAAGTTGAAGCTAAAACATGATTAGATTCAGGCAAACGATTTCGGGGAAACGTTTTTTTCATGTATCCGTGATTTAGATAGTCCCAGTGCAGATATTCGAAAATCCAAACCGTAAGATTTTTTGTTGAATTTTTTGTCGTTTGAAATGAAGGCTAAAGTTTCAAGGCTTTGCAGTTCAGATATCCTCGTATTTATTACAAATAATTTTCGGAATGTCAACTTCTTCCGGTTCGAATAGAATTTTGAGCAACAAAAACACACGTATCTACATAGATACTGTTGTTTTTCTTATTCTTATACTTTGTACTTTGGTTCTATTATGATGAATTGCACGTGTCAGAATGTCAGAAAAAACCATTAAATGTGATTTGAAATCTAGGATATGACACATTTTTATAGTTTAATTGATGCAAATTAATGCAGTAAAAGAGCACAGTAGAATGGAAAAGCGGATATAATAATGGATACAAAGTGCACACAC